TCACGGGATCCCCTACAGTCTTCCAGGACTGGTGAGGTGACCCAACAAATAATTTGTCACCAGTTTTTAGGGCTCCGTTGTCCCTCTCAACCTACTTCTTGTTGTCAAAACTCACTTTTGGATGGGTCGAAACTCTGCCGGAGGCGACTAGAGATTTTGAAAGTAAATCTTTCATTCTGCTGGAATTACTGTCTTGTCGAACCATAGTTCAGCAGGGAAGAGATTTATTCTTACTTTTATTATTAAGCAAAAATTAACGCGCACAACAAAAGAGCTAATTGACATTAGATAATTCATTAGAGAAGGCATTGCTGAGGTGGTCAAATGACCCACGATTCTAGCCGAAGAGGACATGTTGGAGCTGGCTGGCACCATCAAAGGAATGATTAAAGTTAGGGTTGTCAATTCCGCCACATCGATAGGATTTCGACGTAACACGAACCGTAAATATATATAATAAATTATTTAATTTAATGTTTAACACTCAAAATATATTAAATTATTTTATTTTATTTTTGTGTGAATTTTCATACAAACACAACATAAAAAAAAATAGTACATCAAAAAAATATACGATACCTAGATCATACGATACCACACACACCCTAATTAAAGTGGATAAGTAAAAATTGCCAACTTGTTTTTTAATTGAGTTGGACGTAGCCACCATGAAGATTCGAAGCTTAGAACTTGTTATCAAAAGGAAATCAACGCCGAAAGGATAAACCAAGTTTAGTGCGTCGAAAATGACAGCTAACACGCCAATAGCTCCGATTCCAATTAGCACTGGGCTGGTAGCAGCCCAAAATGGCATTTGGATAGGCGGCGCCCATATTAGAAAGTGGATCGGGTCAATCCAACCCACCAATCTGAAGAGAATTTTATGAAATAATTCACTTTCCATCGTTCACTCCATCTATTTTTAGTGGGCTTATAGTGAAAAGTCAAATAATCATAAAAATAAAAAAGATCTATTCATTTGAACTCGTACTGATTTTGTAGATAAGTTCAGAATGAGAGATAATTTAAACGATTCTGTCATTAAATTTATCACCTTAAAAATGAAAAAATATTCTTAAAATTCGGCTTTGAAGGTGCCTTAACGAGATATCTTACTTTTATAAAGATTGAAATCGAACTTTAACGGCTCTTGCCTATCTTGGGCCTAGCTGCCTGCTAGTGGAAAAGTCGATCTTAACTCAGATTTTTGGGTTTCTTATCATGTTAATTAAGTCAAAATAATGTAGTTTATTCAATATAACAGGAACATCTACATCTTTCTTTATTTTTTTCATCCAATAGAAATATAATAAATGAGTAAGTAGATCTCACACATGTAGTTATCAGATTGAATTCTATTGTTAATTTCACTATACTATTCGTCGCCCTCACCACCATCTCACCTCCTAGGGTCCTTGTTCGAGTCTGGAGGCGGATACTTTGGGGTCTAGGTACTTGTTCAGGTCAAAGTGACGGTTCTGGGTCGGGTCCATCCAATTTCAATGTCAGTTCGAGAGTTTGGAACTAGTTTCGGGCCGAGTCTGAGTCCAAGGATATTTGAGTGGATTTTTAATTCTAGTCTATCACTTAATTCTATCTGTTGTTAAACATTGAAACGATAATGTACATTCTATTCAATTCTTATGTTTATTTTATTATCGCCTTCGTTCCATTTCTATGTAAAGTCATCACAACATACTAGACGTCGTGTTGGTGGGTGTGTGTGAGAGTGCATGAATATTTTTTGGTTTATTTGTGGGGGGAGGAGGGGGGGGGGGGTTGTATGTTTTTCACAAATTAATTTTTCAAAGATGTTTTATCAAACATGCTTTTGCTTTTACGCAAAAAACACAAAATTTTGGTAAAATTTAATTCTTTTATTTTAAGAAAATATTTTCAAAAAACATTATCAAACGAATGCTAACTCTTTAATTGTCATAGTATTATCTAAGTATAACCCGTGCCTAAGCAATGTGAATAGTTTTGAGAGAGAGTGTAGTTGAGATATTCGAATGACTTTATTAAAGTCTGTCAAGCAACTATCTTTCTTATTTTTCGAACCATGCAGAAAGAAATCTAATTCGTTTTTAATTCTTCCTGTCAGCTGAGGATAATGACTCTTTGATTCTTCCTCTCTTTTATAATTTAATGCTAACATCTATACGTTAGCTCTGTCGCTAGCCCTTTTAATACGGAAACCGTCTTAAATTGTAATGTCAAATTGTATAAATTTTGTGGGTTAAAATACAAAATTTTTAATTTGTTATTAAGAAAAAAATTACAATTTTGTAGGTGATTTTGCAGCTTTTATGGTTAAATTATAATTTTTTGGGATCACTTATAATTTTTGGGTTACTCGGAGTCAATTCTGAAAAAATTCAGATCGATCCAAAACAACCTCAAAAATTGTAAATGAACTCAAAAATTATAAATGATTTCCAAAATTCATGAATAATTCTCAAAAACTTATAAATATCCCTCAAAATTTATAAATAAAAAATTATGGTACAGTACTTTTTTTTTTTGAGTACCATTGTCTTCCCCCTAATTCATAGTCCTCAAATTAATTATGATATGAAAACGCATTCTTCTTCCATTTCCTCTACAATTCGTGTGTCATTTTACAGAACCTTCCTTATCCCAAAATAACCAAAAATTCCTTACTGTTTCTTTGTCGTGTTTTATTTTTCAACTTTTTTATACTCTAAGATAAGGGGACCATACCGGCTTACCACCCATTAATAGTCCCTTGGCACTATCAAATTGACAAACTTTTGTGAAAATTAGTATATCCTTTCACACAAACTTTTGTGAAAGTTAGTATATCCTTTCACACAAACTTTATATATAAGATAAATGATGATGAGAACCACGATTTATCTATGACTTTTACATGACAAAGTGACAAACCTAAAGAAAACAACTTAGGTCCCTGTGGGGATATAGCTCTGCTGGCCCATGGACCACTCTAACCCCTCTCTCTTCCCCTGCCAAAAATAACCAAAAGAAAAAAACAGAACAAACCCAAGTCTTTCCACCCTTAGCTAAGTCTCTTTTAGCTTACCCCTACAGCTAAATGATGATCTAGTGGGTTCGCAAACCCCTCTCAAACCATTCGAAAAGGAAAGAAAACCCACTTGATATTATAACAAGCTTGGGTTATTATCTCGATATTATTTTGGCTGTCAATGGGTCGTGTAATGTTACATTTGTATCATATTTAAATTGTGTAGTGTTAAAATTTGTTTAACTCATACTCCACACATTTATAATTAAGTATAATCAATTTCTTATTGTTTCAGATTAATGCTGAGTATAAAATATGTCAAGGTGATACTGTATTAGTATCAACCCATTTATTTGATGGATACACCCATTTATAACTCTAATCCGGGGAAACTAAGTCCAAATCTATTAATCTGTTAATTCTATATTGATTGGGTGTCGAATTTATGTCTAAAATTAACTCAAGTGATAATTAGGACGAATTTTAAATTCAGACGTTTTAAATTCGAATCTTGACAACCATTTGGGGGTCAGACCATGAGGGATTAATTCCTCATGAATTCCATAAATTCGGCGTGGATAACTTATTTTTGATCGGACCAACGAGCAAGGGTGGAGCCAATAATTTTATTCAGGGTGGGCACTTTAATTACGTACTCTAATTTTTTCCTCTTAATCAATCACACTATATAATATATTTATATTTATTATATCATATTTGATACATGAAGTCTATTTAATATAAAAAATACCAAAAACTAATGTATATTGTCAGGGGCAAAGTCAGGAATATCTATGAGGGCAGCAATATATAACTGATACAAAAAAATATTTAGTTGAAATTAATACAAAAAAAATTAGTTCAAAAATGACAAAAAAGTAAGAATCAAGACAAAATTATTGTGAAATAGTAAATTTAATTTTTTTTAATCCAAACAAAATCCTAAAAAAATGATACAAAATAATTTTTTTAGTACATTTTAACCTAATTATATATTTTAATAAAATATAAAATTTTATATATGAATTAAATGTAAATTAATTTTTCACTAATTTTCTATCATCATTATCAATCTTATAAATAAATTTTCTATTCGAAATAGTTTGAAATATTTTTAAGTTACAACCTTTTGTCTTTTATATTTATAATCGTATTTTACTAGATTATAGATTATTATTACTAAAAAAATGGTAAATGAAAATTAAAATTTATTCTTAAAAAATAACAAATATTGTGTTAGATAAAAAAAAATATTGTATTTTCGTCAATATAAAAATAGATCATTGATTTAATCCAAAACTAACATATTTATTTTAGATGATTAGTAATCCACTTATTTGTTGAAAAAAGAAAATGTTAGAACCATTATTGAAATTTTAAAAAATTTAGAGGGATAAATAAAACCCATAAAATAATTTTATGGGTTTTTATCTAAGGTAGTCCAAAAGTGAGGGGGCAAGTGCCCACCTTGGTTCCCATGTGGCTCTGCCCATGCTGTTGAGAAAGAAATTAGTTTAGATGTGTATAAACTAATTTGATCGCGCGATTGCTGAACCCAAAAAAAATTTAAATGTCAACCTTACCCCTACTACCCAAGGGGAGGGACCAAACTACTCTAAAGTTGGGTCCACAGATTTAGGTGACCCAGTATTATGTCAGCAGCAATTGCCCTAACCAACTAAAAGCTGACAAATCCTTCAAGTTCTATCCAGCCCTTTTATGGAAATATCTGGATATTTATTTATCCCAACAAGCGGTACCGAAAACTACCTCCCCACTACCACCGCAATTTTGGATCCATACCCGACACACCGATACAAGGCAGTTTCCTCAATGACTCCACCCTTCAAATTAAACGGTCCACTGGACCCCCCCACCACTTATTGCTAAAATACGCTGTCATCCTTCAGTCCGCCTCCCCCGACCCCCCCCCCCCCTTTATAACCTTCTCATTCTCGTCTTTCCGCCCTCATTCTCCCATCAAGTTGCTCTCTCTTTCTCGTTCTCTCTCTCTCTCTCTAGATTGAGGAAAATGGGACTTCTTCATTGTCCATTGTCGTGCCAACCAAACAAAGAATCATATTCTGATCAATCTCACTCTACCCACCTTCGTTCAGAATCATCCTCCTCATCTCTCTCCTCTCAATCAAGTTTACCATCTGTCCCTTCTCTAACCCCACCTTCCCAAGAATCTGATCAACAATCCTCCACCACCTTCCACCACTGTATCTCCACCCTCAAAGCCCACTCCTCCTATATCTTCTCCCTCACTCTCGCCGGAAAACACCTCTACAGTGGCTCTTCCGATAGCCAAATTCGTGTATGGAGTCGAGACCCTTCTAGACATGACAATAAAACCCATAACTTGGTAGCAGAAGGCAATAGTGCTGCAGTAAAGTCCATAGTTTTTCTGGGTGATAAGCTTTTCAGTGCCCACCAAGACCACAAAATTCGAGTATGGAAAATCGATAATGACACAGTAAACCATAAATACAAGTGCCTAACCACCTTACCAACAGTCAAAGACAGTATCTTCAAACTCTTCTCGGCGAAGAACTATGTAAAAGTTCGAAGGCACAAGAAATCCACATGGGTTCATCATATTGACGCCATATCAGCTCTGGCCTTATCGAGAGATGGTTCTCTTCTCTACTCCGTTTCATGGGACCGGACGTTCAAGGTTTGGAGAACATCGGACTTCAAATGTTTAGAATCAGTATGGAATGCTCATGACGATGCGATTAATGGGATTGTGTTGTCTGATGATGGGTTTGTGTACACTGGTTCTGCGGACAAGAAGATAAAGGTTTGGAGGAAGAATGAAGGAGAGAAGAAGCATAGTCTAGTGAGTACATTAGAGAAACACAAGTCAGCTGTGAATGCTTTGGCTCTTAGCTCAGATGGGTCAGTGCTATACTCTGGTGCATGTGACAGGTCTATAATTGTGTGGGAGAAAGATGCCGGTGGTGGTGGAGATCTGGTGGTGGCTGGTGCACTTAGAGGGCACACCAAGGCCATCTTGTGTTTGGCTGTGGTGTCAGATTTAGTGATCAGTGGATCAGCTGACAAAACAGTTAGGATTTGGAGGAGAGGAATTGGGAAGAGTTATTCTTGCTTGGCAGTGTTTGAAGGACACAGAGGACCAGTCAAGTGTTTGACTGCGGCTGTTGATAGTTGTCATGGGTACAACAATGGTTCTGGTTCTGGGACTTCTTATCTGGTTTACAGTGGAAGTTTGGATTCTGATATTAAGGTCTGGCAAACGTGGGTCCCTTTCCTTCATTGATTTCTCCTCTCTCTTTTTTTTAATCATCTCTTGAACAATATTGTATATAAGAAAGAGTGACTTTTTTTTTATTATTATTGTTTGGTTTTTTATTTGATTTATACTCTCAAACGTAGATTTGTGTAAGTTGGGTTATTCGTAGTAAGTTCAATAGAAAATGAATTTTACTTTTTTGAGTACGACTTATTTGCAATTGATTGACTTTGATCCTCCCCATGTTTTCAAAAGTTGTGTAAACTGCATGTATATATATATAATTTTATTTTTATTTTTCTTTTGGTTCTTATTATGAAGTGTGTCCGGTGATTTTTGTATAATAAATAAAAGGGACAAATCTCTCATTTACACAGAATTTACTTGAAAGTTGAGAATACTGAAACAAAAAAAAAAGGTGAAAAAGGTCCTAAGTAATGGTGATAAATGATTTTTTCGGCTGTCCACACGATTCCAACGAGTCTTGAAGGAATCTACCACCCAAAACAAAGAGTTAAAAGGATGTCAAAGTATTTTTCGGTGTATTCCTTCAAACAGTCAAATCAATCTTTGAGAGAGGAGGGGAAAGAGTCAACACTGTTCTATTTCTTGGAATGGATTTTTCATACCTTTCTTCCATATTGTGAGAATTACTTATATTTTTCATAGAAGTCATCATTGTTGACAAGTAGGTCCCCTAGGGAGAACCCTCTATTGGCCCATCTAAGAGGCAACAGGTGGGGGTGAACATTCCTTGGACAAAACTCTTCCTATCTCACGCGGGAAGTCAATCAACATTAAATCCTGCCCCCCCCCAAGCACCTAATGCCCTTCCACCAAGGTTCTTTGGACAATAAACACATCTCATCTTGCTCAAGGATTTTTGAATGCTCTTCTGTGATGGTTGCACGCCAGCGGGGCATTCTTGTCTATTAGCCCCCAACTCTGTATTTTGTGTCACATGTCCAACTACCTTTGGCTGCTGGTTATTTCTTTTCTTCCATCCTAACTCCTTTGGGAAAGAAAATTAATAATTTATTATTTAATTCTATCTTTGATAGGCTACAACTATCAATAATCTGTCTTGTGACTGAGATAAGGTGTCTAAAAGCAGACCTTAGGATCCAATCACGATGATGACACGTGTCAAAATTCTAGTGCTTCGTGAGCGCATACGTTGAGTGCACATGTTTTCATCATAATGCTAAAAGTGTCTTCAGTGCCGAGAACACGTGACTTCATCTGATTGTTGAAAGTGTCCTTGATGTCGAGGACACGTGATTTCATCTGAATGCTGAAAGTGTCCTCAGAACCGGAAACATGTTTCACCTCCCTGTCCTTTCTCAAAAACATCCCGTCATGAAGTTTATATGATGTACTATTACATGTTATATTTTAATCATGTCTCTTCGAATTATGATTTTACCGTGGGCTCTTAATTATAAACTAGGGATTGTGCACTGACGGTATCTCTATGCAGCTTGGAAGAAAGAGAGAGAATAGAAATAGAAACTTGTAGGTGAAGCTGATAAAAAAGTTAGGCGAAAAAAAAAAGTAATACATACATTCTCTAGGTGGACATCTAATCCATCGTATCCTTTTATTAGAAGTATAATTTTTTTAGGATTGTGTCACCTGGTAAAAATGAATTTTGATAGTGTTAATTGAAAAACGTGTCTTCAAACAAGTGAGACGCGTAATAACACAGCGGCATTGTTTTATTTTGAAAAACTATTCGAAACCACAGAGAGCAGATCAAATTGTAATAGAGTCGAATTGTAAATTCATATGTCATGCTTTTGAATTTTGGCAACTACTTAGAGCTACGTTATAAAAGATTTATCCGTCGTGAATACTCTAGTCGACTTATTTTTTATCGTACCGAGAATAAGATTAGTCGAGGTACATATAAACTGATTCGAACACCTCTGACTGTTAAATCAAAAAAAAAGAAAATATTCAATGCTCACCAGACATTGAATGACACTGTCATATAGTGTACATCACTTATAAAATATTATACATTCTCAATCCATTATTGCCACTTATAAAATTGTTAATTTTTTTTTTTTTTGGAAACAATCAACTTGATATGCAGAAGATAGAACGCTTTAAATATTTGTCCTAGAACATTATCCTTTAGTACCACACAATTATTTAAAAGAGGCCACACCACACTTACTTTGAAGTCGAAGATAAAGTATCACCATGTATTCTAGATATTAAAATTGAAGTTTAATTTTACCGAATTATCGTAGTTATAAAAATTCAAATCGTATTAAGCGGAAAAATTCGAATTTTTAACCACAAATGACTCACCAACCGCTCGATTTAATCTTGTGGGCACTCGTCGAAGTTTCAACGAGTAGTCCATGGATTCAGATGGTGGAAGTCCACCGACGTAAAATTCAGACATATAAACAGTCTTCCCCTCAAGAAAAATTTTTCTTCCTTCTTCTTCTCCTTCTCCTTCATGATCATGACAGGGGACCCAACAGCAATTTTTTCTGACCAACGACCTAACACCATTAAAAAGGGGACCAAACTGCATTAAAGGGCTTCTAATTATATAGAACTGCTGCTTTGGAGGCTAAATATGAAAAACAACCCTATAGGGTTGATTGACTTTTTACCTTCAAAGCATACATATCATGGAGATAACTATGATCCCCTAAAAAACTTAAGTATGGTGCCTCTAAATTTTATAATTTTTGTGGGTTTTGATACAAAATTTTGAGTTTATTTTCAATAAAAAATTTTTTTAAGTCTTTGTGTCATAGTATAACTTTTTTGGGCCAAGTGGTAACTTGTGACCAATCTCAACCCTAACATTTTTAAGATTCATCGTAAATTATCACAAAATTATAAACAACACCATAAAGTTTGTAATGACGGTATGGGGCTGAATTTTTTTTGAGGGGTAGAATAGACTTCCCCTACATATTATATATATAGGTTAGAAACTTTTTCAAAGCAGAGTTATACTGGACCTTTATTCATTATAAATATTTTAAGTTTGACGTGAATGGTCTATCTTAATGAACTAGAGAGGAAATTAGTCGGGATGCATATAAGTTAATTTAGACACATTTGATCGTTGAAGTAAAAAAAATATATATATTTGGAGAATTGCAGTCATATGCTATCTACAAATATAAGTTAAACACGTACAAAATATTTTTATCGAAATTTCACAAATATATAATACAGGTGTAGATAATGCTTCTTAATCACTCAAACACGTTTACCTTGACTGTACAATGTAAGCTTACATGATCTCTTGATAAAGCTAAGAACAGGTTAATTAGCAGAATAAATTACAATTTAACTTTTGATGTATCAAAACAGCCGATGACAAGTGCACCCCCTGCTACAAAGAAGATTAGAGTGCTTTATTATAGTTTCTGAATGTCATTTTCTTCTCGATTCATTCAAATCAATCTTAAACAACAGGGAAGTCAGTCATTAACACTAATACTATTTGAATCTAATTTACTAATAATTAATTCATTTTAACCATTGGTTTGATAGCGGATTTTTAACAAATAGTGGGATCTTTATCAATCTAATGATATTATGAGTAATTAGGTCAATATATTAATTTTGAGTAACATTGCTCGATAATTAAAGATCTGCCACTAAATTAATGTTTGATTGGGGAGCTTTAAAGATTTGATTTTGTTAATTAATTGCAAGTGGGGGTGGGGAGTTTGGGCTAAAAGTTGTTGTCCAGCCTACATTTTGATTTTTCCTATTCTTGGCTTTACTTTACTTTTTTTTAAACATATTTTTTTATACACGGATATCACGACGCTTTAACTTTAGGAAACATGGTACAAATTTAATCTTATATTTCATCTAAAAATGATAAAGACGGGTTTTATAACAATAAAATTGTTATATTATGACTTGAATATCACATGTCATTCTTAGTTTTACTTTACTTTATCTTTAACCGTTCTTTTTTATACACAGATATCACGTTGTTTCAACTTTAGAAAACAGAGTACAAATTTAGTCTCATAATTCATCTAAAGATGATAAAGACGGGTTATATGTATAACAATAAGATTGTTATATTATTAGTTAAATATTACATTTTTAAGTAACAAAAATAGTATTTTTTGCAATAAAAGTGTATAAATATAATCATATATAAATTCTATGCTGATAAAAAGTCTCTTATACGCGTTGGCACTTTCACACTACCTAATGATATGACCAAGAAAGTTGAAACATTCCTACCTTATAGTATTACTTAAGCTCTAGAAACACCTACCTTCTCCTACCTTATGGTTTCGTGTGCATATAAGCTTTGCCCACGTTACAAAACCTGTTAATTTGAAAAAAGGAATCATAGTAATTACTTTTAGTCTAAGTTTTGATTATTCAATTAAAGACTAAGATATCATATAACTTTTCTACATATGACTTTGAATTCAAGTGTTTTCCATGAGAATGGAATAATAGAAGCTTCACCAGCATTTTTTAACTCAATTCAACTCAACTCAATAAACTCTTGTTTTAATATTTTTAGGGTCGTTTACATAAATCGCCTTTCGTCATTGTGCTCTATAAATGGGTATGTTTTTTTATTAAATTATAACTTATCATGTTTTTTCTTACTCTTTCACTTAAAGTTAATTTTGGTCTACCTCCCCTCTTACGTTTACTTTCAATATTTATCATATAACTTTTTTTCACGGTCGTCGTAATAGGCCCTTTTTATGTGTCTAAAATACCTAAGTCGAATCTTCTTTAATTTATTCCTTATAGGTGCCAACCCTATTTTTAAAGAATATTGTCTAATAAGACTATGATAAGTATTTCATCAGGTACCACCACAAGGTGATACTTACTGTGGTCACCCATTTAAAATAGTAACTTTACTGGCCAAAAGATTTGGAAATTTTCACTTGGTAAAGTAACAGAGGTAAGGCTATGATCCAAACTTAACTTGCACTAAAGTAATTTTTGATAATAAAACATGGTGTAACATAAAATATTATAAACTTCAATGTGTCACGCTTTGATTGGACAATTAAAAATTGCCGTTTTACATGGTTTTAAGTATGAGCAATGTCATTAAGATCTAATGTGGGAATCTAATCAATGACTTAATTCATTGCAACTGTGTATGATAACTGGAAAGAATGAAATGAGAGGGTTGAATGAACTCTGTGTGTGCATGAGCAAGGAAACAATGAGAAAGAAGACAAGATAATAAGTGGTTCACTAAGCTTAGAACTAGGC